CGGGCAAGGAGGCACCGGGAGGCGCAAAAACCCCGGAATTTCTCATCTTGAAACTGGGGAAAATCCGGGAATCTCTGGGAATTCACGGGGCAAAATCCCCAAATCCCCGGGAATTCTTGTCTGGGGAAGCGGGAAAACCCCAAAATTCCCGGGAATTCTGGGCCCCGAGGGGCTCCAGGTGCGGGATTTGCCCCGAGGGAGGGGAAAACTCCTGGAATTTCTGGGAATTCCCAGGAATTCCCGGCTGGCCCCACCTGTCCATGGCCCGGTCCCGCATCCGGTCCCTCCTGCGCTGCTTCTCCCGCTTCTTCCTCACCTCCTCGTCCTCCTCCTCGGACGCTGAGGGGAAAACTCGGCAATTCTCATCCCAAAAAACTCCAGGGAATCCTTTCCCAGCATTCCCAGACCCCCAAATCCCCAGCATTCCCAGGTTTTTCCCGGGTTTTCCCAAATTTCCCCATTTTCTCTCCCATTTTCCCTGAGATTCTCCCACTTTTTCCCAATTTTTCCCCCAATTTTTCCCATTTCCCCCCCAGTTTTCCCATTTTTTCTCCATTTTTTCCCTTTTTTCCCCATTTTCCCCCCATTTTTCCCAGGTTTTTCCCCATTTTTCCCCTTTTTTCCCCGTTTTCCCCCCATTTTTCCCAGGTTTTTCCCCCATTCCCAGCGGGTTCAGCTTCCCTGGGATCCTCTGGAATCCTTTGGGATCCTCCCCCAACGAAATCCTCGGGAATTCCTCCCCAAAAAGCCCCAAAATTCCTCCAAAATCAGCGGGAAAAGCCCCCAAAAAAAGCTGGAAAATCCAGGAATTCCCCCCAGCTCCTTCCAAAGGGCCCCGGAATCCCGGGAATTCTCCTGGGGAGCGGAATCCGGGATCTCCTGGAAAGGAAAAAGAAGGAAAAGGAAAGACTGGAGTGGATTTTTCTTGGAATTTCTTGGGATCAGCAGAATTTTGGGAATTTTCACCCCGTTTTTCGTGGATATTCCCAAAAACCCCGCCGGTTTTCCATGGAATTTTCCAGGCTGGGAAAGCCCTGAGGGATTTGGGAATTCCTGCCCCGCTCAGCCCCTCCCGACTTTTTCCAGGCAGGAATTCTTCCCAAAAATCCTCCCAAAATCCCCAAATTTCTGATCCCAGCTGGAAAAAAAAAAAAACACCAAAATTTGGGATCCAGCCCTTCCGGGCCCAAATTCCCGAATTTTCCCATTCCCAGAGGGTTTTTTTGGGATGCTCCAAGCCAGAAAATCCCTCGGGAATTGCTGCAGGGCTCCGAAATTCCCGGATTTCGGGGAATCCCTGGAACACTTACACCTTTGTCAGCCTCATCCAAGGATTTCTCCTCTCCTTCCCCTTCCTCTCCTGGGGGAAAAACGGGAAAATTCAGGGGGAAAAACGCCGGGAATTGGGGGGAAAAAGGCCGGAAAACCCCGGGAAAAAGGAGAAATCCACGGGAAAAGGGAGAAAATCCCGGGAAAAGGGAGGAAAATCGGTGAAGATCCAAGGGAGAGGGCGGGAATTCCCAGGAAAAGGGAGAAAATCTCAGGAGAACAAATGGGGATTGCCAAGAAAAGGCTGGGAATTCCCAGGAAAAGGTGGGAATCCCCAGGGAAAGTTGGGAATCCCCAGGGGAAGGTGGGAATCCCCAGGGAAAGTTGGGAATTCCCAGGGGAAGGTGGGAATTCCCAGGGAAAGGTGGGAATCCCCAGGGGAAGGTGGGAATTCCCAGGAAAAGCTGGAATTTCCCAGCGGGGCCGGCGTTACCGTGCTCGGAGTCGCGCTCGTTGCCGTCGCTGTCGCTCCGGGTGTTTTTGGGGTCGTTCCCGTCGGCGTTCCCGGCGTTCCCGGAGCCGTTCCCGGCGTTCCCGTCGGCGTTCCCGGCTCCGTCGTCGCCGCTCCGGGAGCGTTTCCGTTTCCGGGCCCCCTCGGGCTCCCAGCGCCCCCCGGAGCGAGCGCGGAACGGGCGGCGCCGGCCCTGCGGAGAATCCCGGGAATCAGGGGAATCCGGGAATGGGGAAAGCTGGGAATCCTGGGAATCCGGGAATGGGGAACATGTGGGAATGGGGAATCCTGGGAATCCTGGGAATCCCGGGAATCAGGGAATGGGGAAAGCTGGGAATCCTGGGAATCCGGGAATGGGGAAATCCGGGAATCCCAGGAATCAGGGAATGGGGAAATCTGGGAATGGGGAATCCTGGGAATCCTGGGAATCCCGGGAATCAGGGAATGGGGAAACCTGGGAATCCCGGGAATCCGGGAATGGGGAAAGCTGGGAATGGGGAAAGCTGGGAATGGGGAAAGCTGGGAATCCCGGAAATCCGGGAATGGGGAAACCTGGGAATGGGGAAATCCGGGAATGGGGAAATCTGGGAATGGGGAACATGTGGGAATCCCGTGGGGAAAATTGAGGAACCCTCGGAAAAACGTGGGGAAGAGCAGGGAAAATCCGTGGGGAAAAAAATGGGGAAAAAAGGTGGGAGAAAGGCAGGAAAATCTGGGGAAAAAGTGGGAAAATCTGGGAAAAAACAGGAACTGGCAAAAGAGCGGGAAAAAGTGGGGAAACCTGGGAATGGCGTAGGAAGGAGCGGGAAAAGGCGGCAAAAGGTGGGAAAAGGCGGGAAAAGGTGGGAAAAGGTGGGAAAATGAAGGAAAAGGAAGGAAGAGGCAGGAAAAGGCAGGAAAAGGCAGGAAAAGGGGGAATGGGAATTGCGGGACTCACCGGGAACAGGGCCCCGTTCCAGGGCAGCGCCCCCGGCCGCTCCCTCCTGCGGCCGCCCATCAGGGAGCGCCCCAGGCCCGGCATTCCCGGCATTCCCGGCACCCCCAGATCGCCGGGGTAGTCGGGATAATCGCCGGGGTAGTCGGGATAGTCGCCGGGGTAGTCGGGATAATCGCCGGGATACTCCGGCGCCGGCGGGAAGAGCGAGGGCAGCGCTCGCGATTCCG